TTTTGGGGGGATTTTGGGGTCCCACAAATCGAAACCAAGCCCGGATCCAGCGGGGGTCGCTTTTATTCCTCGGGAAGAGCCGGAAGAGTCCAAAAATCGGGAATTTTTCAGGAATCTTCCTTCTCCTGAAACCTGCGGGAAAAAAGGCGGGAAAAGTTGGGGCGGGAGGGGGGATTTGGCGGGAAAATTTTGGGGGATTTGGCGGGAAAATTTGGGGGATTTGGAGGGAAATTTGGGGGGTTTTGGGGTTGTTTTTGTGGGAAAATTTGGGGGTGTCGGGGGTTAATTTGGGGGATTTTGGGGAAAATTTGGGGGATTTTGGGGTAAATTTGGGAATTAATTTGGAATTAATTTGGGGTTAATTTGGGGTTAATTTGGGGGATTTTGGCGGGGCTTTTTGTAGGAAAATTTGAGGGAATTTGGGTTTTTTTGGGGATAATTTTGGGATGATTTTGGAGTTAATTTGGTGGCGTTTTGGGGATAATTTGGGGTTTTTTTAGGGGTTGTTTTGGGGATAATTTGGGGTCATTTCAGGGAGAATTTGGGAATAATTTGGGGATAATTTAGGTCAGTTTTAGGTCAGTTTTGGGTGTTTTTTGGGTCAGTTTTGGGTCAGTTTTGGGTATTTTTTGGGTCAGTTTGGGGTGTTTTTTGGGTCAGTTTTGGGTATTTTTTGGGTGTTTTTTGGGTCAGTTTTGGGTCAGTTTTTGGGTGTTTTTTGGTTCAGTTTTTGGGTCAGTTTTTGGGTCAGTTTTGGGTCAGTTTTGGTTCAGTTTTTGGTTCAGTTTTTGGGTCAGTTTTGGGTATTTTTTGGGTGTTTTTTGGGTGTTTTTTGGTTCAGTTTTTGGGTCAGTTTTTGGGTCAGTTTTTGGGTCAGTTTTGGGTCAGTTTTGGTTCAGTTTTTGGTTCAGTTTTTGGGTGTTTTTTGGGTGTTTTTTGGGTCAGTTTTTTGGGTCAGTTTTGGGTCAGTTTTTGGGTGTTTTTTGGTTCAGTTTTTGGGTCAGTTTTGGGTCAGTTTTTGGGTGTTTTTTGGGTGTTTTTTGGGTGTTTTTGGGCTCTCACCCGCAGCGGGGGCAGCTGTAGAAAACCGTCTGGCCCTCGTCGGCCGAGCGCATCTGACGCGTGCGGTAACTCATCCCCTCGTTCCCACAGCGGGGACAGCGCCGCTCCACCTGCCCCAAAATCCCGGGATTTAACCCCAAAATCCCCAGGATTTATCCCAAAAATCCCCTCGTTCCCACAGCGGGGACAGCGCCGCTCCACCTGCCCCAAAATCCCGGGATT